ATATATATATACATATATATATGTATATATATATATACATATATATATGTGTGTGTATATATATATATACATATATATATATATGTATGTATATATATATATATGAAGTTCAAGTCTATCCAGAGTCACCTCAGGAGAAAGGCCTGGTGATCTACTTCTTAAAAATCAGCCATTGGAAGCCCTATGGAGCATAGTTCTCCTCTGACACACATGGGGTCGCCGTGAGTCTGAATTGACTCTATAGTAACTGGTTAAAGGATCATCAAGTTCAACCGCCTCATTTTACAAACAAGCCTATGAAGGCCCAAGTAGGCCAAGAGACTTGACTAAGCAGTTACAGAGATGGGGTTAATGCTGATAACAGAACTGATTTTAAGCACTCTGAAGAATTCAGCTCTTTCTGACTTCCTTTGTTAATATTTTTGAAGAGATACACATATATTGATATTTGTGACAACCAAGCTTAAGGTAAATCTTAATGTAGATGAAAGATACAGCTGACAATGAGAACAGACTACACCTAACAATTGTTACAAGGTGCGGTCAAGTCGATTTTCGACTCATAGCCACCCCATGTGACAGAGTGGAACTGCCCCATAGGGTTTTCTAGGCTGTAATCTTTACAGGAGCAGATTGCCAGGTCTTTCTTCTGCAGAGCCGCTGGGTGGGTAATATAGCAAATATACTTGTATTTCGGTTAGCATCGGAGGGCCTAGCCATTGCACCACCAGGGCTCCTTACATCTGATTACTGGCATAAAAACACTCGTTGTTTTCTTGCTGTCACTTCTGTGGGAAGCTGCAGTTCTCATTAGCAGCTCTGAGCCTCTGAGGGTTTAGAAAGAACAGTTGGAGAAACATATGAACTGTTTGGTGAAAGTCCAGTTGAAGTGTGAAAGGAAGAGCATGTGTCTCGTTCATACCTGTTTGTGAAGCTAGGTACTGTGTGTTCAAATATATAGTAGCATAACACCCCACTGTCAGACCCCTGAGGGGGAAAGCATGCCCTGGGCAGCATCCCTGCCAAGGTAAACACTGCCAGAGCAATGATTTTCTCTTCCGTTTCGTGGTTTATAGTGGCAAATATTTGCCAGAGTAAAGGGGAACAACATGTAAGTAAGTGTATAATTCTGAGTTTGAGCCACAGGCAGTTGCTTTATGCTGCAAGTTCATGAGTGATTTGTGGGTGAAATGTATATTTACATCTCCATCTTTGGATCTGCAGCTAGCCCGACGCCTTCCAGCAAGGGTGCAGGGGTATCCGTGGAGACTTGCATATAGCACGTTAGAGCATGGCACCAGCTTGAAAACTCTATATCGGAAATGTGCATTGCTAGATAGTCCTGTTCTATTGGTCATCAAAGATATGGATAATCAGGTGAGGCCTATTCCTGTCAAAGAAAACCTTTTTTTAATTAAGATCTTCAGATTTACACACTAGTAGACAGATTAGTAAAATGAACCTGCACTGCCCATATTCCAGTTAGCAAGATTTTGCTACATTTGCCTCATCTGTCTTGCCTCTCTTTGCCTTCTGTTTTTTTCTTTGCTGAAGTATTGTAATAAATCCCAGTCATCATATCATTTCACCCCTACATACTTTAGAATGCATCTCTAAAAAGAAAATGGCCATTTTCTTAAATAATCACAATGCTATGGACCTAACAGTAATTCCTTGGTATAATCCAGTCCCCAGTTATTAAACAAAGTTCCCTGATTGCTAAGAAATTATTATTTAAGAAAGAATGTGATTATTTAGAATCAGCCATAGGATGAGAGCAAGGATTACTTTTCCTATTTATTGGTCATAAATGGGCCCGCTTTACTCCTCCGATGGCTATATGGCTTTGTCATATTTTAGCACCTGGTGTTTAAAGAAAGATGCCTGTCTCAGTTGTATTTTAGTTATTTTACTGAAAGATGACCAGAAGAAGGGAAAAAGATCTTTGATGTTTTTGTTTTTGTTTGTTCTTAGCAGCTCTGGGGAAAAGTTTGGTAGCAGGAAGTATTATGAACATTGGTTAGAAATTATACTTATACTTTGCCTGAGATTAGTATTTCAAGTAATTGGAAACTGAGTGTCATTGGTGAGAAAGAGAGCCCACAGTGATTATAATCCAATTATAACGATTTTGAAAAAGTCTAAGACTTTTCCAGTAACATCCATTTAAAGCATTATTTCTCATGTGGGGTTTGGAAGAGGGTACATCAGAATCACCTAAGGATGTTTTCAAAGTATATATTCTTACCCCCTCACACCCCCCACCCCACAAATATTGATCAGGATCTGAGCAGAAGGGTAGGAAGCTGAAGTAGTAGACATACATATTCTGAAAATGCTGCTTCTCAGGTAATTTAGCTATCCTCCCCACCTCCTAACAAGAAAAAAATAGAAAAATATTAATGTAAACACATGAATCCATTTTAAAGTTCATAATATTAAGGAATTTTTTTTTTCTTAAAGACCATTTCAAAGTAAAATATGTTGGATCAGTCATATTAAGGATAGAATTATTGACAAGCATAAGACTTTCATTTTTACAAAGCAAAATGGGGGAAAGTTTCTGCGGGGAAATGTCTGGCCCCAATCTTATAAAACATATAAGAGACGTGACTTTGTTCCCCCAAGCCCTCATTTCTGTGTTTGAGATACATTTTCTTGTTTAATGTTCCCAATACATTGCCTCTATTCACTAAAGGAAATTTGTCTCCATAGTGAATTTTGAAAGTCTTTTAAACTGGAATAAATCATTGACCTTTGACAAGCAAGTTCTCTAAGCTTCCTCTGATGGATTTTCCATGTACCAGGGAGCCTGGCTACTTGGATTCCAATTAGAGCTGGGGACATTTTGTTTACTCTGTTGGTGGTCTTTTTTACTAAAGAGCTCCAATTTAGCAATAATTCTTGTTGAAAGAGGTATAATGAGATCTCAGAACAGGATTGTGTCAGAAATATTTCAGAAAGCCTTTGGGAGATTTGGGTTTGAAAGTAGGTAACATTTCTGTTTCTTTTGACAGATTTTTGGAGCATATGCAACTCATCCTTTCAAGTTCAGTGACCACTACTATGGCACAGGCGAAACTTTTCTCTACACTTTTAGCCCCAATTTCAAGGTAACTAGATGTGGAGAAATATCCGACCTCCCGATGTCACCATGTCGGGAGTGGTGGGGGCTCAGGGTGGGCACTGGACCAGCAGCTGTCATACAACCTCATCTTGGAATATGTAGTCAGAAACCACACTCTAATCTGGGTCAGCACTTCCTGACGGTAGCACACGTACCGCTTAGAGTCCCCAGGCCTTGGGAACTCCACTTCTGCATAGTCTGAGACCCAGGGAGGGGGCAGGTGTGGAGCCTGAGTGCCTGAAAGGTCTTTCTTCATAATCCCTTCAGAGATCTGGTCCTGCTGTGGCACAGGTCAAGCAGTCAGGAGCCTCCTCAGCCAATGGAGTGATTCCCTTCCACACGAAGATACTATTCTAGTATTCCTTCTTTGCTAATTCTCCAGATTAAAATGGCTGTTCTCTGTTTTGTGTTTCCTCCTCAAGGTCTTTAAGTGGAGTGGAGAAAACTCATACTTTATCAATGGAGACATAAGTTCTTTAGAGCTTGGTGGTGGAGGGTAAGGTTTTATTGTTGTTGTAATTTACCACCTGACCTGAGTAGATCTGTTTTGACACAGGTAACTAAACCTAGGTATCAAGTGATTTTAACTAGTCCGGGTATTTAGATTAATTAGGACAGTGGCCTAACACATGGCACTAAGAGTCAAAGATAAAATTACTTATTTATAAGTTGAAATGAGGGACTACTACGATTTGTCTTTTAGGAAAGATGGGTCATCTAAAGGGAATATATCCTTTGTTTTGGAGCCCTGGTAGCACAGTGGTTAAGAGCGCAGTTGCTACACAAAACGTTGGCAGTTCGAATCATCCAGCTGTTCCTCGGAAACCCTATGGAACAGTTCTACTCTGTCCTTTAGGGTCACTGTGAGTTGAAATCGACTCAACGGCAACAGCTTTGGTGTTTTTTTTTTTTTAAATCCTTTGTTTTACAAACAGTTTAGAGTTTTGTCTGTTTATAGAATAAAGGAAAGAAGGGGCAAGGGAGGATGGAAAGTGTGCCACATAAGATTCAGATGTTTTCACCTTTTTTTTTTTTAACCTTTCCAGGGGAAGATTTGGTTTATGGCTAGATGCTGATTTATACCATGGACGAAGCAACTCCTGCAGCACTTTCAATAATGATATTCTTTCTAAAAAGGAAGATTTCATAGTTCAGGACCTAGAGGTATGGACATTTGAGTGAGATTGAGAATGCCTTAAGATATAACATGAAAAAGACTGAGTTCGGTCAGCCTCACTAATGCTGGCTGGAAGATGAAGTTCTGGCCCAGGCTGCCTCATCCTATCATAACGCTTTCTTTCTGCCGTCATCTCAGAGAACGATCACATTGCAGAAAGATTCAGAAAGGTACATGTGGAGGGCAGACACTGAAGAAAGAAATTTGAAGTTCAGATTATACCCCCACTTGCTTCACATCCATCCCGTGAGGAATCAGAGTGTTTATAAAATGTATGAGTTGAATGCAATTTTTATTTTTGGTAACTGTCGTGGGGGCGGGCAGAGGAAGGGAAGAGACTGTGGAAATATATACATGCCTTGGATATTTATCAGCGTAATTTTCATTACCAAAATGTATAGCATACTATTGTTTGCCCTGGAGGATGTCTTATTTAGAAAAATGAAAGTGCACAGCACTTAAAGGGAATGTATGATTTTTTTGAAACTGTTTTATTTATTATTTTTAATACATTGTCGGAAATGTGTTGGCAGTTGTTTTTTCTTTTATTGTGTCAAATCTTAAAATATATGTATAGATTTTGTACTGTGTTTTGGCAACAAATCCATTTGATTTCTATAATTTTATATTGAATTTTTTTTTTTTTTTGCCCTGATTGTTCAGGGTGATATGTCTTAAACAGCATATGTATATTGAGTGCATAATTCTGAATTTTTTGAAACTCATCGTCAGTGTTCATTGATTTGACTAGTGTAGGCTGTTAAAAAGGTACTTTTTAGTTACTTACCATGAACATATTTATATGCATGTGTAAAGAAGAAAGAGCCATTTTTCACAGCCATAAGTTGATGTTTATAAAAATGGATACCTTTGTGAACTTAGACTCTGCTTCTGAGAAGAAAGTGTTTTGCTTCTTCTAAAATCATGCGTCTTAAACAAAAACTTTATGTCCATGGTTGTTTTGCATAATTTTCCCCAAGTTTTCACATTAGCAAGCAGGCCTTCATTCAAAAAGAATCGAATGTTTTAATTTCTACAGTTTTTAAATCAAATGAAAAATTTTAAATGAGCCCAATAGTCTTCATTTCTAGACTCTTTTATATGAGTGAAAGCAATGCAAAGAAATGCATTCATACAAAAATTGGAATAAAAAGGGAAACCTTTTTTTAATTAACTCATTTTCACATCACTAAACAACTCCTTTATTAAAAATAATAACAATAATAGTAATAAAACCTTGTCAAAAACTTAACCAATATTATTGATTGCCAGAATTTGATGAAAGCCAAAGACTGCTAATGGAAAAAAATTTCAAATAATAGCCAAAGCTGAGAAGTGGTCTGTCCTAAATTGTATCCCTAATGATCTTTGAGGGGAAAAATTAATAAGTAGTATTTACACACCTGTGAGTGTTAAGTTCTTAGAATATTAGACTTAAGCCGGCAGAATATTTCTTTTAGGTTATTCTCTCATTTTAGACTGTTCATAAAAGGGAACAAACAAATTACCAGGTAGTCTCCTGTCAGATCAGCAAGTACTGGACTCTGTTCACAGTCCATGTGATTTTAAGTGAATGCTATAAAATTTCAAATCTGTATGTAGCCTGGGTGTGCTTTTCACCCATGATCTCCTATTGAGAACTCTCAATTAGCAAGATACTGGCAGTTTAACCTTAATCTGCTTCTTAAGTAATGTTTTAGTGTGAGATACCAGGAATGTCTCATAATGATTACGGTTACCATTTATGCCATTTGCAGCCATGTGCTATTAGCAAACAAAATGATCATTTTGCATATAGTTCACTCTTATCTAGTTTAGTCCATGATACTATACTTGTGAGAGCATATCCAGATGCTGTGTTCTCTATTATAAACAGTATTGTTCAATCAGAAATGCGTGATCCTTCATTTATGGATATTGAATATATGTAATGCAGTGCTATCCCAGTATTTTCAATAAAGGAATTTATGCATTCAGTGTGATTTTCTTTCTTGAGGATTAATTCAGCAGGTATTTGTTAGGTGAAAGGATGATGAAATATCCAACGATAAGCAAAGTGCAATGCTTATGTTTTCATTGCTGCCTTGGAACTCCCACTTCATTCCCTGTAGCCAGCCTCTTATTCTTTTACCAGTTCATAGAAACTATACCTATTACAGTTACTAGAGACCACTCTTGGCTCTGTCTACCACCCTCTTCTCTATTCTTAATCCTTCTAGCCTTTCTGTGAATAGTGACTTCCTCCTTTTACCATCTCTCTTGACCCACTTTCTGATTTTCACAAGGGGATCTCACCTGCTGATAAAGTTTCTTTATCATCTTGTTGGTTACACTACAACTCCACTACCAGCCTGCCACCAAGCTCCTAAAGATGAAGATCCCCAAACAGTCATTATTGTTTCTCAATTCCTCACGTCATAAGTTCATATCAAAGAATTGGGGTGGGAGGAGTTAACCAAATGTTTCATCAGCCTCTGTTGAAAATTATTTAGACACGTCTTTATGCTCCAAGCCACCAGGGACACCCTAAACTAGTGTGAGAAGTATGATTGCCTTTCATTTGTTTTCCCTTTCCTTGATTCATCCAGCTCTAAAGGCACATGCAGCAAGACTAATAATGAACTACTTTCCTTTTGAGGAAGGCATTGAGACTCTCTTAAACCAGAAAGGAAAGCTGAGACTCATAGACCTTCTTAAGATGCCTAACCCATTTTGACCAATATAATCAGATGAAGCAAGATAAGGAGGTCAAAAGCCAAGGGAAGTTCCAGAAAGTTTAAGATAGGGCAGCCACACTCAATTATTGTGCAAATATAAAAAAATGGCTTTAACCACTTCCTTCTGCCCTACTGGGTCACGTATCTTTTCTCACTCAGGGAAAGCCCTAACCTCAAGAGACCACATCCTCTGTTCCTACCTCCTTGCCTATAACCATTATCCATAGTGATTCCTAAAAGTAGGTGAGTTTTCCTGGGAAAATCAACCTTCTCAATGCACACCAAAATTTAAGGTCCTACTCCTTCCCTTTCTATTTCAAATCTCTAATGGTTCAAAACAAAAACTAGACAGGGCCTCCCTAGTATGGTCGACAAAGTTATCGAAATGGTGTTTCTTTAGGGACCTATTGTTTATCTTCCAGATCCAATAGAACTTTCAGCAATGATAGAAATGTTCCATGAATCTGCACTGTCCAGTACAGTAGCTACTATTCACATGTGTCTGTTGAGCACTTGAAATGTGACTTGGGTGACTGAGGAACTGAAGTTTTAATTTTATTGAATTTTAATTCAATTTAAATGGCCACAGGTGGACAGTGACTACCATATTGAACAGAGCAGCTCTCGATTAAGATGTTAGTGCCAAGTCGTATTTTCATTAGCAATTAACTCAGGCTGTTACTCCCACACCAGAAGAGAACCTTTGCTTCCAGACACTTTGTCTCTGGCATTATGGATCTTCACACAGCTTGGCAGCCCCTAACATGTCTCTATGTAGGTAACAAAAAAAACAGAAAAACTCACGGCAACCCCATGTCTTTCGGAGTAGAACTGTTGCTCCATAGGGTTATAAATGGCTAAAATCTTACAGAAGTAAATTGCCAGATCATTCTTCCACAGTGCCACTGACTGGATTCAAACCACCAACCTTTCAGTTAGAGCACTCTTGAGCCACCCAGGTAATACAGGGGCTTGAGAGCCGAGTTCTCCCAGTCTTTCCATACTAAAAATGTGGATCTCTATAGAATTACTTATTTCCATCTCTAACCAAATACATCTTCTAACCAAAGGTAATGTAAGCCTCTCTCAGTGCCTAGGCTTTGTCACATGAAGCTTTACTGGCTTGACCATTAACACAGATTTTCTTTCTACACCAAACATTCCACTGCTCATAGCAGCCCTATAGAATACCATATCCCTCACCAGGCACCCATCTACAACTCATGATAGACAATGGGAAAGAAAAAAAAAATGTCTCCTTCCTTCTACAGAATTACGCATATTCAGAACACTCAGGAATAATGGAACCACCAAGAATGCCTTAGACAGTGCTATTCAATAACCAATCTTCCTTACCAAGTTTGCCAGTTGGGATGCCCACCCAGAGAATCTGACTACACATGGTGAAAGTTTTCAGTATCAACCGTTGGAGTGAAAGGTCGTCAATGGCCATCAGACAGAGACCATTAAATAGCCTTACAGTCCCATTAGCCATCAGCAAGGGCCCTATCATTTGATCAACCCCTCTACTTCTAGGGTTACTTTTGGTAATCCTGATCTAGTTTGACATAATCCTTAAGGGAAATGCTAAACAAAAAACACCCATTCTTGTTCATGTTCAACAAGCTTTGATGGCAAGGTGTGTTTTCTCACGCCTCTTCAGCTAAAAAAATTCTGCTTGATAGCATCTTGAAAACATTGAAATTCAGCCAGTGTCAGCCTTCAGTTCCCATAGCAGTCCTTGGCTTAACTTCACTGGCTAATAGACCAGCCACATTTTACCTAAAAACTGACTGGGATCAGCACTTCAAAGACTCCAATTAACAATAAGCATATGCCTGCAAAGATGTGCTGTGCTGAGATACTGACATTGAGCTTGAGAGCTATTAAACACCCCGTTGTTACTCCATATCCAAAAAGGTCCAGTATTGTTCTTTTGCAGCAGCCTTGTTTCCCTATTAGATCCTCCAAAGAGACACAAAAGTGGATAGGTTTGGCATGGGAGGTCCCAGGGAGAATTGGCATAGATCCCTATCAGTGTGTTATATGATCGGATCACCCAGTTACATCATTAGGTGATTCCTCCATTAGAAGTTGTTATTTTATTTATTTAACAAATATTAAATGTAGTGCTTACAGGAGCCCCAGTGGTGCAGTGGTTAAGAGCTGTAGCTGCTAACCAAATGATTGGCAGTTCAAATCCACCAGCTGCTCCTTGGAAACCCTCTGGGACAGTTCTGCTCTGCCCAATAGGGTTGTTATGGGTTTGGAATCAACTCAATGGCAACGGGTTTGGTTTTTGGTTTACTTTATGCCAGATACTGTTATAAATGCCTTAATCATCATATCAATCATAGAGTGGTTATTATCATTATCCCCACATTACAGATAAGAAAACTGAGGCACATAGAGGTTAAATAATTCACCCAAGTTCACATAGCTAGTAAGCTCCAGAGCTGACAGTCAAACCCCAGGAGTTGCTCCACAGTCTGTGTGTTTAACCACTATGCTTTGCTGCCTCTCAGTCTTTAGAAGTTTTGAGCTCTACCTGGGTGATATGTAAGCTTATTTATATCTTTTTTTATGTAAAAAGAAGCATCCTATGTATCTATACCATTTTCAATTTTCCCTTTTAATTTACATCAATCAACAAACAACATTTTATATCAATATATGTGGACTTACTTCATTCATGGGTCTATCATTTAACCACTTTTTCATAATGAACTTTTTTTTTGGAGGGGGGTGATTACAAACAATTCTTAACCTACTGTATAGAACTTTGTGCATTTATGAATTGCATATTTTTTGGATAATATTTAGGATCAAATCAAAGAGTGAATGCATTTCTAATTTTAAAGATACTATCAGTTATTCTTCCACAAAGGTTAAGGTTATACTAGTTTACAGCAACTGTGTATGATCATGCCAGTTAGCAGTTACCTCACACTCTCACCAATACTGTTTATTGGTTATTATGAATCTTTTTGTTTTTATTTTGTTTTAATTTTCATTCTTTAATAGTGAATGAGCTTGAACATTTTCCCACATGTATTGGCTGTTTGTATGTCTTTTTCTCTGAATAGTCTGTTCACGTCCATTGTACATTTTTCTACAGAGTTATTCATCTTTTTCTTGTTGATTTGTAAGTGTTACTTTTGTGTAGTCCCAAAATTATCCCTTTTCATATGTTGTTGATGTTAGGTGCCATCAAGCCAGTTCCGACTCATAGCAACCCTATGTACAACAGAACAAAACACTGCCCGGTCCTGCATCATCCTCACAATCTTTGCTGTTTGAGCCCATTGTTGCAGCCACCGTGTCAATCCATGTCATTGAGGGTCTTCCACTTTTTCATTGACCCTCTACCTTACCAAGCATGATGTCCTTTTACAGGGATTTGTCCCTTCTGGTAACATGTCCAAAGTACATGAGATGAAGTTTCACCATTCTTGCTTCCAAGAAGCATTCCGGCTGTTCTTCCAAGACAGACTTGTTTGTTCTTCTGGCAGTCCATAGTATATTCAATATTCTTCACCAATACCATAATTCAAAGGCATCAGTTCTTCAGTCTTCTTTATTCACTGTCCAGCCTTCTCATGCATGTGTGGTGATTGAAAATATTAAGGCTTGGATCAGGCATACCTTAGTCCTCAAAGTGACATATTTGCTTTTTAACACTTTAAAAAGTTCTTTAGCAGCAGATTTGCCCAATGCAAGACGTCATTTGATTTCTTGACTGCTGCTTCCGTGACCGTTGATTGTGGATCCAAGTAAAATAAAATTCCTGACAACTTCAATATTTTCTCCATTTAACATGATGTTGCTTATTGGTCCAGTTGTGAGGATTTTTGTTTTTTTTATGTTGAGGTATAATCCATACTGAAGGATGTGGTCTTTGGTCTTCATAAGTAAGTGCTTCAAGTCCTCTTCACTTTCAGCAAGCAAGGTTTTGTCATCTGCATATTACAGGTTGTTAATGAGTCTTCCACCAATCCTGAAGCCTCATTCTTCATATAGTCCAGCTTCTCAGATTATTTGCTCAGCATATGGATTGAATAAGTATGGTGAAAGGATACACCCCTGACACACACCTTTCCTGATTTTAAACCACACATTATCCCCTTTTTTCTGTTCGAACAACTGCCTCTTGGTCTATGTTCAGGTTTAGCATGAGCACAATTGAGTGTTCTTGAATTCCTATTCTTCACAATGTTATTCATAATTTGTTATGATCCACACAGTCCAATCATTTTGCATAGTCAATAAAACACAGGTAGACATCTTTCTGGTATTTTCTGCTTTCATCCAAGATCCATCTGACATCACCAATGGTATCCCTCATTCCACGACCTTTTCTGAATCCAGCTTGAATGTCTGGCAGTTTCCTGTCGACGTACTGCTGCAACCATTTTTTAGTTATCTTCAGCAAAATTTTACTTGGGTGTGATATTAATGATACTGTTCAATAATTTCCAAATTCTGTTGGATCACCTTTCTTTGGAATGGGGACAAATATGGATCTCTTCTGGTCGGTTGGCCAGGTAGCTGTCTTCCAAATTTTTTGACATAGATGAGTATACAAACCTCCATCGCTGTATCCATTTATTGAAATATCTCCACTGGTATTCTGTCAATTCCTGGAGCCTTGTTTTCGCCAATACCTGCAGTCCAGCTTGGACTTTTCCTTCAGTACCATCAGTTCTTATCATATGCTGACTCCTAAAATGGTTGAATGTTGACCAGTTCTTTTTGGTACGATGACTGTGTGTATTCCTTCCACATTCTTTTGATGCTTCTTGTGTCGTTCAATATTTTGCCCGTAGAATCTTAAATATTGAAACTCGAGGCTTGGATTTTTTCTTCGGTTCTTTCAGCTTGAGAAATGTCGAGTGTGTTCTTCCCTTTTGACTTTCTAACTCCAGATCTTTGTATATTTCATTATAATACTTTATCTTCTCGAGCTGCCCTTTGAAATCTTATGTTCGGCTCTTTTACTTCATCATTTCTTCCATGCACTTTAGCTACTCTACATTCAAGAGCAAGTTTCAGAGTCTCTTCTGACATCATTTTGGTCTTTTCTTTCTTTCCTGTCTTTTTAATAACCTTTTGCTTCATGTGTGATGTCCTTGATATCATCCCACAACTCATCTGGTCTTCGATCAATGAGTGTTCAATGCATCAAATCTATTTTGAGATGGTCTCCAAATTCTGGTGGGATATAATCAAGGTCATACTTTGGCTCTCGTGAGCCTATCTTGATTTTCTTCAATTTCAACTTGAACTTGCATGTGTGCAGTTGATGGTCTATTCCACAGTTGGCCGCTGGCCTTATTCTGACTGATGATGTTGAACTTTTCATCATCTGTTTCCACAGGTGTAGTTGATTTGATCCGTGTGTATTCCATCTAGCAAGGTCCATGTGTATAGTTGCCATTTATGTTGTTGAAAAAAGGTGTTTGCAACAAAGAAGTCATTGGTCTTGCAAAATTCTGTCATGCAATCTCTGGTGTCATTTCTATCACCAAGGCCATATTTTCCAACTACAGATCCTTCTTGTTTGTTTCCTACTTGCACATTCCAATCACCAGTAATTATCAATTATCAAATTATCAAAATGAGAAGAAACAGCTGCAAACATCCACTAATAATCAGAATGTGAAATGTACGAAGTATGAATCTAGGAAAATTATAAGTTGTCAAAAATGAAATGGAATGCATAAAGACTGATATCCTAGGCATTAGTTAGCTGAAATGAACTAGTATTGGACATTTTTAATCCAATAATCATATTGTCTACTATGCTGAGAATGAAAAATTAAAGAGGAATGGCATCACATTCATCATCAAAAGAACATTTCTAGATCTATCCTGAAG